AAATAATATAAATATATAATATAAATATATATATAATTATATATATATATTTCGTGTAAGCATAAATATATATATATATATATAATTATATATATATATAATTAATATATGGCGTTTAATAATATATATATATATATAATTATACTTAGACGAAACGCCAAATCCGATTAAATAAACACTGATACGAGTAATTCGTAAAGATTATAATAAAGTAATGATATAATAAATAATGATGTGTAACAAGCATATACATTGTAGTTAGGTAATATGTAAAAATATAAAATTGCATACATATATTCAAATGAATAGATTGACAAGTATGTAGATGGTTTTTTTATCGATAAAAATTAAAAGAGAACAGATTGAATTTTTTCTTCATTTCTCTAGGTATATGTACAACACAAGATGTGGATTTGTTTTTGAAGCACATGAATAATGCCAGATACCTTCGTGAACTGGACTTCGCACGTTTCCATTATTACGATCGCAGTGGAATTTACGCAGCCATTGCAAAAAGAGGCGGAGGTGCAGTGCAAGGAGCTTCGTCGACTCGGTATCGTCGAGCTATTCCCATTTTTACGCCTTATAAAGTTACCACGAAGGTTAGAAAAATATAATACAATATAATATAATATAATTAGCCTTAATTTGTATATTAATATACATATAATTATATATATTGTAATGTCATGAAATGAAAAACCTGTTTTAATTTCGCAGCTAATATATTGGGAAGATAAGCACTTCTATCTGGAACACGAGTTCATTAGTTTGACGGACAACTTCGTACGTGCAGTTGTTCTTAGCAGACAAACTGTCACAGGTTTGAAGATTCCAGTTACAGAAATAATCGCTGAAATCGAACCAAACGCGCAACGGCCCGCGTTGACCAAGGATTTAGAATTATGGCTCAGTTCTATGGAAGAGTCTTCTCAGAGATATAAGAAGGATAATTGAAGACGATCTTCTTCGTTTTACACCCTTGTTGCTCAATGTGTACTTTATACGTTTTTGATGTTATTTTGAATTAAGGTGTTTTGAATAAACAAATTTCTCTGTTAACGACATGATAATCGCTAATTCTCATATGCAATTAGACGTTAATCGATCGTTTCATGTCTGTGCAATAGTATTGCCAAGTATCGCTTAGTTGCCAACCCAACATTATTTACAAGCTTATTTTTCTGTTTCTCTCGATTATGCGTAATCGAAGCGTTGTAAATAAGCAACAAATTAAGAAGTAATACGCAAACTGTTTTTGTCATTAGTGGAATGACAGGAATAATTATCAGAACGAAACATAATAATATCACAAAAGTACATTTCTTTATCCACGGGTCATAACCGTGACACGGCTCTTTCTACCCGGGTAAACTGTTCCCTCACATTGTTCAATTCCTTCGGCTCCCGTCAGATGGCGACTTTCGTTTCGCGATGCCCGATGGAGAACGGATATGCGAGAGTTGTGCGCGTTCCTGACGTGCAGTCGATCCGAGTACTCGAAACCTGTCGCGAACAAGCCGACCTTTGACTCCACTTTCCATGAACTTTCGTGATTCATTCAGTGTCGAAGAGCTCGTGACAGGTCCTGTCAACAACGCAGTACTGGACCGTTCCCACTTTCATCCCACCTGTAAGTGGTATTCTTCGTGTTTCGTATCGCTTTCCGGCCCTCGACACTTCCGTTTTTTTGAACTTCACGCGCAACCCTCTTGAACTTGTTACCGTAATATTTATTCCATTCCGTGCATGAAAATAAATAATAAAACGGGCGTTTTTTTTCAGGTTTACTGTTATATCGTGGTAAACGTAGTAGTTAACATGTTATCCGTAAGAATCGCACCGTTTCGCGGGCCCGAATGAATGTATCGTTTTACAGAATTTCGCACGACAGGCATAAATTAAAGAAGACGCTGTCCGCTGAATAATCGCGATGATCGTAAAGTGTTATTGCCCTGATTCACTTTTTTATTCTATGTTTAACGAGTTCCATTGACTCGTTCAGTCAGAGGTACGCACTTTAAAAAAAAGTCTGCTACTCCGCATAGAAGGCGCATTTCATTTACGATATCTTTTGCGAGAGACATCATACTCCACACGGATAACATTATGCAATCCAGTGAGGAAAATTCCTACGCTAATACGCTCTCTATTGTTTCTTCTCGTTTAATAAGATATTTTTCATGGAAAATAAAATTTATGACTTCCTTCCTTCCTGTTTCTAGAACGCTGATTCTCAAACTCTCGAGACAACCGGTTCTATATGAAATTCTTCTTGCCTCATTTCGTGCAGAAAATTAGCAGTCCCGTCAAGGCTCTTAGAAATTTTGTCGCGAACTCTACATTAGGTAAGGAATGCTTCTATACCATCTACAAGCATGGTAGAATTCATTCGTTGGACTTTGATATCTCAATGATGTAAATCGTGGAATCAACTCGTGCAATTTCTATAAAATTTTTATAAAAAAAAATTTCTTTTAAAAAACAGTTTGTTACGGAACAAGCGTTTTTGTGAAAAGGCAAAACACGCAGTTTCGTGCGTGAAGCTTGTTACGTAAGGCAATCGAGATCATGCATTACATAATAATGATTATAAACGATTCTTATAATCATGCTAATGCGAATTGTCCAATGACACTATTCTCGTTGCTCCTCCCCACGTCTCTCCTCCTAAGCGACTATATGAGAAACAATTTTCTCTAACCGAGTAGCGAACTGACACTGCCCCACGGTTATGCAGAAATTGCCACCTGATGTTCATGGCACGCTATCTCAATTTGTTTATAGCCTAATTGCTTGATAATCGTGAGATTATCGCGTTTAAACATAATCTTCTTCGGTAATTGCTGTCTGACATCATTACACTTCTGAAATTTAGTTTCGCAACCATTCTCATGAGATTTGTAAACTACTGTTCTTATTATAGAATGAAAATCATTATGTGAAGCCAATTTAACGATGATTGTCCCGATGATACACGCGCGTCAGCGTTGTTAACTATACGTTCAAAAGCCTTCGTTGTTATTAATGATCCCCGATTAGAACAAGTTTCTAGATCAAGGACCGTAATCCTCTCCGCACTCGGGGATTAGAAACGTTAATTAAATGTCGCAGCAGACCGTTTCGATAATCCGCGCGATGTAATCGCGCCGCCAAGGAAATCGATCGTGCGAACCGGCTGAACGTCGATTTCTCTTCCCATGTTCCTCTTCCCGGAACAATCGTCACTGGATACTTTTCGCTCCTCCGCTGTTATCTTCCGCTTTCTTTCGCGCTCGTGGGAAATCTCTTCTCAGTTTAATCGCCAATTAGAAGCTTTCCACTTGTCATTTACCGCGGAAAACAATGGAGAAGGATCACTTCCGATTTCGATCGATTCGTTCGTTCGTTTTCTCATTACATATACGCGAGACATCTTATAAGTGATGTAAATGAAGATTTATATCTCTTAACAAGTTTAAAAATCTAAATACGGAACCCTCGTGGGAACATAAATCTCTTCTCTACTTTACGAGGGAGAAAAGTTTTAATCCTCCCCGTTCATATACATAAACCTACATTCGAGGAGCCGATCACGTATTAGGTTGCGGAGGATTAGGGGATGTGAAACGACGATGGCGCTTATACGCGGTTCTTTGTTCGATCCTCCGCCGTATCACGTGGGAGGACAAGCGTGTACGCGGACGCATATCGTTTCGCGATTAACAAGCACATCGTAATAAATTAGGAATTACGACGCTGGTCTCTCAGTTTCTCCTTTCGCCTCCCGTAATTGATGCGCCGCCTTTTTCTTTAACGATCCCCTCGTTTCAAATAATGCGACAACTGCGCTACACCTACTATCTTAATAGCGATTATACACAATGTAAAGTTTCGGTTAAACCATTACACGTTCTCATTGCGGCTTAAATATCTAACAATATATCATAACAGTAGGAAACCTGCGAAATAAACTCATCTGCGAATAAGAAAGCGTGGCGTATAGCGAATTGAAACGCCTCGATTTGGAAAAGCACGAATTGCCGTGGTTCGTGGCACGGAAAAACGCGATAGTGATCGCGATCGGCACTAACCTCGTTGCAAAAATTGCACGCACGAACAGAGATAGAGCTGGTGATAGAGCGGTGTGTTGGAAACGCAACGCGCTCGTCGTTCCTTTCCTCGGTTACGTCACGTGGGAAGTGAGCCGCGTAGGACGCGTTAATGCGCGGCCGTCGTCGATGGCACGTATCATGTAAAGCGAGAAAGAGCGGCGCACCATGCGAAAAAGGGAACGACAGATAAAGAGTCGTGCCGCGTTAACTTTTACGGTTTAAGCACCGTCCACACCGTTCACGTCGACGGGGCGACGAACGGGGAGGGTCATAGATGATCGCAAATTGTCCGCAATTGACAGGAAGTCGTGGTAAGGGGGACCGTTCCTACGCCCCCTCGCACTCTCTTCGTTGTTCATTAGCCGCGGCGTTTGCGGGTCCATTTCGCTCGTACGAATTGATTTCAAGTACGAGATCAACCCCGCTCTTCGAGAATTATCGTCGAATCTCAACCAAACGCGTTATCTTTGGCAAATTTTCACGCTGTGATCTCGGAAGGATGACTTAACGGAACGATTTGTCAGGTTCGTACCTTTAATGACGCGATGCGTATAAACGTGGGATTTTAATATCGAAAATGTCTGTCGAATCTCATGACTATGTTACTGTAACATCGTAATGATGTCTATAGTATTTTCGAACGATTATCCGACAGTCAGAAATTTATAATTTGATCATCTTTCATCGTTTAATCCTTGGTTCCTTTAGATTTTTAAATCTTAAACGTCCTTCCAGTAGGATGCTATTTATTTATGAAAATTCTTCAAATATACAAAAGTCACTCTATCGTCACAGATGTGCTTTCTTCTCGTAAACTGATACCTACAGCGAATTCTTTTACGACGTTCGTCGTGAATTTCGTAGAGGAAGATTTCAGATTTACCAACTGTACCTATAATATCGGAAATTTGTAATTCTTCCTGCTTCGAAAAACGAGTTTCGCAACAGTTCTTTCGAATACAGGTTACGAAGAATATTAGGATTTATCGCTGCAAACTTCGAACCAGCCCTGAACTCGTTTTTAATTCTCGTTTATTTAACGAGCGCCATTCGCAACAAGCGGGACCGTGTATTGCACGACGAGTTCGGTTACGCGATAAGATGAATCAATATTATCCCATGCTGATAACGACATTCAAATCGAGGAGGGAGGAGTGGGGATTTTTCCGTTTTATCGAAACTATGCGAATAACGAAAGGTGGCAGTCGTCCAAGTCGAAACCATTGTAAACGCACAGTCAGCAGACTAAGATGCACATCGCCGATGACAAGAAGACAAATCGAATCGACGATCGTGAAATTCATTCTCGCTGTGAACATAAATTACGCGTTTCTTCTTCTACGCGCGTGGAACGCTCGGTAAACAATGCATCACAATTCTACACGCGCGAGAATTCCATTTTGCCGCGTCATTTGCGCGATTTGACGCGCAGAAACCCATGAACCGAGGGAAATTAATGTCACACTCGACCATTTGAGATAAGCTGTGTCACGGTCCCCCTTTTTTTCGCGGTTCTTCGACTAACGCCTCACCTGTGCAAAGGAACGCAGTCGAACGCGTGCAGAAAAATTTGCGTCGCAATGTTCGTACAGTTAAATCGTTTACCGTCACGCGTAGATAAATGCAACGTTTCTTGTGCTAGATTAGAGAGTTCGATAAATCGTCTGTACTATTCTCAACGGTATTAGCGTGTCGCACAATCGCATGAAAATGGCCGGTGAAACTCCGGTAAATCAGTGAAATCGGTCACTGCTAATTAGCAGGGAAAAAATCAGTTTCTCGTTGTCATTAATTAAAACAAAGTGTCGAGAGGAAAATCGCGGCGCGGGTCTTTTGTTTAGTGGTCGAGGACGTGCGCTATTCGATCCATTACTTATACGTGCGCTATTCGATCCATTACTTACACGTGCGCACGACGAGCTATGTTTAATGGATAAAAAAAATGCGTCAAACATGCTGCCACTATGGTTCCGAGATCACAACTTCTGATACCGTGACCCTGTTCAGTGGAATCTTTTATGTGCTTTTACAATTCTAACTTGCCTTTCCAGGGTATCTTTCCAGGGTATGTCGCCATAGAGATTTTTATTTCCATAGTTTTGCAAACGTAATAATCGAACGGCAAGCACCAGGTTTATGGCTTTTAATCGATTTTTAACGACGGTTAATACGTTGAATATTGCGAGAATCGATGGTAATCAACACTGGACACCACGTGGACTATCAACGATCCATAGGAATCCGTCGAATTTGAAATTTGATTTTTTGTCTCCCAGGAACAATATATTCTTTCTATCAGAAATTTTGTCGCGCTTTGTTACGAGTTATTATCTGAATTGAATAACTGACAAGAATCAATGAGTAACAATGTCGAATATGCAATTACAATTGCGATGTAGTTCCTTTTCCTATTGACAGTGATGAATATTCAGTGAAAATGTAAACACAATTAAAAAGACAACATCATTATCGACGTAATTTGTGAATTGTCACAACGTATACGTCAATGACAGCGAGAGTGTTAAATAATCTGTTTTCAAATTTCGAATTTTAAATTAGATTACCAGTGATTTTGATTTGATCTGCTTAAAATCTTATGCCAATCAGATTTTGTAAAAACGTTTCGGTATCATTGGTGTGAAAATATATCGTTCTGTAAAACACAATTCGCCTAACAGCTAACGTATTAATTTGCGAAAGTAGAAATATCGTTTGATCATTTGCAAGCATTGGTTACGTATATCAATCACGCGACAGGCATCGAAAGGAAAACACGATCGCAGATTTCCGACGACCTTGAGCGTCTCGGTTGCTACTCAGTGGACGTTTGTAGGAAAGTGACGTCTTCGCGTGAGCATACCTTTCCATAGATGTTACCTCCACCACAAAGTGGACCCGCGCGATCGTGATCGGGATTGTGTATAGGTAAGAGGCCTGGCTGTCGGCAGGGTGTCCCGTTAGGGGACCTAGAAGGCCCAGAAGGGGCCACAGCCAATCGTATCAACCTGGTTCCGAACACACCGGAACGGATCCTCGTCCGATGAGGATCGCCTGACAACCGGTCAGGCTGGTCAGTCAACCGGTACGATCTATTAATTGATTCACGTGTGTTTTTCGTGTTGATAATTCATGTCAAATACTCGGGACTAGTATGCCGAAAAGTTGAAATTGTTGTGTGATAAGGATGAGAACTTTGACGGCGAAAGTTGATTGTAAGTTGATATATCCGATAGCGAAGATCTATTTCTCTTTTTCTTTCCTCATATTTAAACCTTTCAAGCTGAAACTGCACGTTATACGAGCGTATCAAAAGGTATAAGGTGTTTAAATTTATAGCTAAACTGCCGATATTTATGCAATTTCATATTTTAATAAACAGAATTAAAGAAGGCCGTAAATAAGAATCTTTCGCGTTGGTGAAATATTATAAAGAGTAACTAATTTTGGATGTGGAATTTAAATGATAGTTACATTCGCATTCCTTATTCACTAAGTATCATTCGATATTTTGAACACTTTGCATATTTTTTTATATTAAACTTCTTACGATCGTATAAACATCCGCAGTCTATTTATAATTGTTACGATGATATATGGACAATTAACGTATTCTCTGTTTTAAAATCTATCTCATATATTAAACCCGTACGTAAAAATACTACACGTAAAATCCACACCATTCATTCACCGATGATTCACCAATGAAAAAATCCTCGTTTTAATCAACATTGAAAGAATCAATTCATCATACATCGAGTATCAAGTCAGCAATAAACTAACATAAGTAGAACATGGGCATTAATCGTCAGACTTCGCAAGGAATATGTAATCGTCGCCCGTGCTCGTAAAGCTTTATCTTCGCCTGCCATTTCTCTTCTTTTTCTCTTTCTTGTTGCTCGTCTCTGTTTCGTTGGTGGTAAACGCGTTTCCCGGTAATCCAAAACGATGCTCAGTTCCTGGCCGGACTCGAACCTCGTCGTTCGATCTTCCCGCGTCTTTCGTTTGAAACGTTTACCCGATCACGATCGAGCGTGGTTTGCGAATCGAGATCCCGATCGATCGTGACTCACGCGAGAGTAAGCAGCGAAAGTTTTCTGAGCACTGTTAACGACCAACAAATACGAATGCTAACAACCCGATCGATGCTAATACGTGCGTAGCCCAATCAAAATTCGCGGCGCGCTAACCAAACGCTCGCATATTCGATTTCGCGATTGTCTTTGCTGGTTCGTGTCTTTGAATCCTTGAAACAGGTGTCAGCGACGTAAAAGTTGCTTCGGGACAGTTCTCAGGTGAGAATCATCGCATTCCTCGTGTTTCTAGGAAACACTGCCAATCCCTTCGTCGCGAGGACTTTGCGAGGGATCGAAGCATGGGCCGCACAGGATACACGTGCATCAGGCACGTTTTCTGCTCCCTCAACGTTCTCATTTGGGTACGTAACACTTGCTGTCTTTGTTAATCCATCAAGTAGAAATTACTTACATAAGTTGGTGCTTGTAACGTGTTTTCTCAAATAAAACCTGAACATAGTTTCATCAATCCTTCGCGCGTCTAATCAAAGTAATTCACATACGACTCGTTGTATATTTCCACCAAGTAACTAGTGATTATTTGAATTATTACTTTAACTTCGTGTGGATCGTCGGTTCTACGAGTCTAAATATTCTTGGAATGGAATTGTTATAGTTTTCTTTGAAATAACTTATATTACGAAGGATAAAGAAGTAGTTTGTACTAATAAACCTCGATAATCGATGAGATGTTTCCATTAAAAAACCTGGAAATTTATATGCACCAACCTGATACAAAGAAATAAATACGAAATATTCCATTCATAGCCTGATCGTCATCATCGGGATTTATTCAGATTTCATGGAACTATAATTACCGCATGCAACATCCGATTCTATTCTATCGTCATCGTTCGTCACGTTCATAAAAGCGTTCTCTCTTTTCGTTACATAGTTAAAAATAAATATTGTTCGCGATTCCGCTGACGAGACGGCGCACGAAGCGAAAACAACGCCGTTCAAACACGTCCGTAAGCGTGTCACGTTCGCGAACCCAGAAACACGATCGACCAAGTTAATTTCCATCGCTATTCGTGCCGATGCTGCGCAACGTAGAGCAGAAGACCGCGAACAGAAACAGGAGGAACGGCCCACGCATGCGATTAAATCGATGCGCATTGTCATTCTCGGTGCATTCCAACGAACTCTGTCTCTGCTCTCGAATTTATTGTGCCACTTGAAATCGCTCGTCCCCGCCGTACGCTACTCTTAAATAGGACGTTGAACCGTGCTCTATGAGCTATGAACTTACTTACGGTACCCGAGAAGACGCTCGCAGACGCTCGTCCGACGAGGCTTTTCCTTGTAAATCTTTCAACTTGTGCACACCGGTCGCTGTACGTTTCTTCATTACTATCGAGATACATTTGGATTTACACAGACGTACATCAGATATTTCTACGATAAAGAACGTCGTAAAAATCGTATTACCTTCCCGAAGCCTAATGAACGAGATACTATTAATAAATTGGAGATTTCAATTCGAAAACTTGCGCTCGAAATGAACAGGAAAACTTCGAATAAGGTGGAATGTTTATACTTCTTAAAGTCGATAGATATCTACTGTATGATCTCACTTATCGGACACTAATTTTTGTTAGTTCTTTTAGCATGCTCGTGTTAGTTTGTGAAAAATTAGGACAGTAAAAGATAGACGTACGTATCAATATTTCCGACTGTCGCTTGCAATATTTTGACGTATAGTATTTTATGTATCGTTCTTGATACACATTAATAATTTTATAAAAAAGTTCATAATCTAAGTCAGATAGTGAAATATCATATATATCAGATATCCTAAGACAATTGACAACTGGTTGAAATTAATGATTAAAGTATTGTTTCTAGTACGCAACATCGAGGCACGTCCCAATTGGCCTATATATCAGGCACACGCTATTTTCCTTAACGTCGTCGTCTCATCTTAAATTCCTGTACCGTCGTGTAGTCGAGAAGTACTAGGTTTCAATGCTCCGCGGGTCTCATTACGTATGTCGTGTCCTTAATTGCACACTCGAACGATTCCAGGCGTCTGCGCTGAAATTGCGTCTGTAATTTCGCGCGGGCACGCAGTCGGTTTGCTAATCAGCAGTCGACGATCGAGACTCTGCACGGTCATTTCATCCACGAGAGATACTTAACGGTACTCGTTTCGTGGACGACGTAAATCGAGGGGAGTTTAATCGTTCGATCGACTGGTCCGTTCGTCCATTGATTCCACGCGGCCACGATCTGTTGGCCG